TTCCACGCTATTCCAGCAGCTTGAGCTGGTGTCCCCGAACAGGAATGGAGGGCAACCCCCCCGCCCGGGACAGCATTCGTCCCCTGATTAGCAGAGATTTCATCTGAAGAATAAACACTACAAGCCTGCAGCAGCTGAGGGATCATGACTAAGAGAATCTGAGGAGGAGCTGTGGAAGGGGTTGGTAGATGCTCAGTCCGGTGGGGGCAGCTGGAAAACTCACTCCAGGCTGTCCTGCCCTAAGGCCTGACCTTCATGGTACTTTCAACCTCTGTCCCTTGAAAAGCAGGTGCCCTGAGGGTCTCTGAGGCTGGATGGCTCAGGAAGAGGGAGAGCAGATGCACAGCTTGTCTGATGTTGCTGGCACGAGCCCAAGAGCTCCTGGTCACTTGCTGGTGAAGCTGTCACCACTGGGCATTGTCACACGGCGTGCTGGTGGGTGCTTGAGCCAGAGCTGTGGAAGAGGAAAGTCTGTCCTAGTGGGTGCTGAGATGAGGTGAGACCAGGAGGGAACGTGCTCAGTGGGTCCATCGGCTGTTCTGAGGTCTCAGGTAGCAAAGCCCTCGTGTGCAGAACCAGCGTTTGGGCTTCGCTCCCTTCGCGGGTTGGGGCCTCTGCTCTGCTCCCAGGCTGGCCTGAGCCACCAGCATCCTCCCCGGCACGCCAGTGCTGTGTGGATTTGCTGCTGCAGAGCCGGACGGCCTCTCCCGCAGCTCCCTGCCGTGATCTCCTTCTCTGCCCACGCTGGGCACGACACCATCTCCTTTAGAAGGCGAAGGTGGCTCCCCAGCAGCAGGGAGCCAGCTCTCCTATTTGTCTTTTGCATCCAGCTATAAATAGAAAGACCACAGGGTGTTTGCTCGGGGGTTCCAAACCCTCCAGCCCGTCAGCTCAGCCAGCGCCGCTTCCAAACACCAGAATCTCAGAGCACGGAGCAGTTTGTTCTTCAGGCTTCACCACGTTTGCATCAGCTTTGTCATCAGTGACCTAGAGCAGCTGAGGGCTGGCTGATCTCCTACAACTGCAAAACGGCTTGTAGTGCAAAAATCAAAAACTGACCAAAGGGCTAATAATTCCTGTTCATTCCTACCCCAAAATCTGGTGAAAATAAGAACAACCTGAATGTTAAAATGGGGATCTCAAAGCCAGATTTCCTCCCGGGTCAGAAGTTGTGTACGGACAGTGTAGCTGTTAAAAATAGAACTGGATTCTTATTACAGGCAGTTGGCAGAGCCTGGGGCAGAGTAGGAGCCGTGACTGTTTACACAGAGGAGATGGCCCAGCCCACAGGTTCCACCTTCTGCTTAAATTAAAAAGAAAAAATAAAAGTTTAAAAAGTGTTTGATGCCAAATGTGGAAAAATCCTCCCAGCAGGTCTGCAGTAATGTGATAATTAATGTTAGCACTGAACTGGAATTAAGAACTTGCTCTCCTACAATTTCTCACTTCTGAAGATCTCCAAAGGTCACAGGGAAATAAACCATCAGCAGGGGAAGAGAGTCCAGACTTGAGTTAACAACTCAGTGCTGCCATTTTTTCCCCCCCCGGGCCCCTGCCCCCCCGGGCTCCTGCCCCCGGCTCCTGCCCGCCGCTCGCTGTGTGTCCGAGCGCTGCAGCGCTGTGTTTGGTCTCAGACACAGCGCAATTAGAGCCTCCCTTTCGTTACTACTGTTACTTATTTCTCACAATGGCCAGAAAAACCACTAGAAATGGAACCAAAGCAATTAAACAAATGTACAGAAGGATGAAAACTCCACTCTGGTGGTGCCCGGCTCGGCTCCTTGGTTTAGCTCAGCGGTTACTGATGTTAATGTGCCATTAACAGGGAAAAGCAGTGGAAAACCCAACACCTGGGCAGCAGCTTTGGCACCAGGCGCGTGCCCAGCAGGGTCTGCAGGCTCGGTGGGGTGTCCCAGTCTCCTGCACACACCTGAGGGAAGTGGTGCCTGGAGAAGGGAAGCTTGAGTGCAGAGGTGAGTCTTCTGCTGACTCACAACGTTGCACTGGATTAATTTGGTACAGGTGACATGGGATTTTCTGGTTGGTGACTGTGCCTTCATCTATGGGGCTTTTTCAGTGTGTTTGGGGACAAATAATAATAATTTAAAAAAACTTAGTAGAGAGGTTTGCTGCCTGCAGAAGCACTGAAGCACCCTCAACCCAAAGCCCAGCCTTTTCCACATTCTTCCCGTTTCATCTGAGGTCGGCAGCTCCGCATCCTCCCCTTCGGTACCACTGAAATACTCAGCAACACAGCACGCTGCTCTGTGGCACCTTCCCTGTGAAATAGCACTGCAGTTTGAATTGGTTTTTAACCTTTTTGCGTTTGCTGCCTGCAGAAGCACTGAAGCACCCTCAACCCAAAGCCCAGCCTTTTCCACATTCTTCCCGTTTCATCTGAGGTCGGCAGCTCCGCATCCTCCCCTTCGGTACCACTGAAATACTCAGCAACACAGCACGCTGCTCTGTGGCACCTTCCCTGTGAAATAGCACTGCAGTTTGAATTGGTTTTTAACCTTTTTGCACTTTTCTGTGGTCCTTTTCTCTGAACTCAGGCTGCGAGCGTGGCGATGTCTGTGGTGCAGCTCTGAGCCCAGCAAGCACAAACCTGCTCCCCCTGGAATAACACCAGCACAAGGAAGGAAGATGCTGAGGGAGGGAGATGGGGCTCTTCCCACCTTTTCTTTTTCCTTCTGAATCAGTGTTTGCATCTCTTCATTCCAGTCCAGCAGCTCCACCAGCTTCTCAACCCCACTGACCACGTCCCCGAGCTGGGCTACGTCATTGTAGCGTTGCTGCCAGGCGAAGGGGCCTACGAGATCTCGGTTGATAAGGACTCGGGGGATGGAGCCACGAACAGCTCCTGCCAGGCTGGCAAAGGGCTCCACCTAAAGAGAGGACACCCGAAGGAGCAGAGAGAGAGGGTCACCCTGCTGAGGGACACTGCGGGCACGGACTCGCTGCACGCTAAGCTCGTCACCGCTGTGTCTCACGGTTTTCCCACCATGGGCTGAGCTACCCCAGCTCTGAACAGGTCACAGATGTCACCTGGTATCTGGTGGCCTTTCCTCAGGTAGCTGCAAAGCTCCTCTCTTGCTCTCCACTCTTAGCAGGAGCCTGTGAGGTTTTCAGAGGCTGAGTGCACAGGCCCTATTTCTTACCCTGCCACCTCAAACTGTACCTCGATAACCCAGTTTCTCGCCTTCTCCTCTCAAGCCTCTCTCTCCGCCAGAGCCCCCTGCCTCTGGGGGGCTGTTTTCTGTGCGCCTTTTTCTCCCGTGAGCAGGGGTTTCCCTTAGTCCCAGACCTCCAGGGACGTCCCGATGACGAAGAGCAGGTCTGCCATGGGGAAGTCTGTCACGTGCAGGAAGAAGCGCTGCGGGAGCTCCTCGCCAAAGAAGACAATGTCGGGCTTGATGACTCCGGTGCAGACGGGACAGCGAGGGACCTTGTCTGCCATGACGTCCCCCTGAAGCAAGAGCACCCAACACCACTCGTTACAGGGCAGCACGGACCTGCACAAGCAGGGTCAGGACCACAATGTGTCCTCGCAGCAACATCCTGCCCAAGTCTGGGCCCCTCCAATAAAACCTCTTGGCCCCGAGGGCAAGATAACAGGCCTGCAACAGGTTCTCCTTGTGATAATCTATGTGTCTGTGACCACTCACCCTGAAGTCCTCTCCTGGGAACTTCCTTCGACAGACCGTACAAGTGGCAGTGGCAAAGGTGCCGTGGGCTTCCACCAGCTTATCGGGAGGGATCCCAGCAGCTGGAACACAGCGTGGGGGAGAGGATCAGCTCAGCGTGAGGTGACTGAACCAGGAGTGCTACGCTCACTGGGCATTCCCCCAGCCCTGCCTCCTGTTCTGCCTCCCACCCTCACCTCTTCCTGGCACTCTGCTGCTGAGAGAGGAGGAAGAGGAAACTCACCTCTCTCCAGCCCGTCAATGTTCTGGGTGTAGAGGCGCAGGAGGAGCCCTTTGTCGTGCAGGAGTCTCAGGAAATAGTGGGCGTAGTTGGGTCTGTAGTTGCCAGGGTAGAGCTCCTTGGCCAAGGTGAAAAAGGGTTTAGGGTTGACAAAGAAATACATCAGCTCAAAGATGGCTTCAGGGTAAGGGATGTTGTACTGCTCGAGGTTACTGTAGAGGCCGCTCCCCGGGGACCTACCAAGAGAGAAGAGTGGGGCTGGTAGTCAGAGTGCAGGGAGAGATGCCACCCACCACCGAGCCAGAGCAAAACACAGCAGAGCAGCCAGGCCCTTGGCTCCTCTCTGGCTGCTTTGTGCTGTCCTTTGGGTGTCAAGAGAGCAGCTGAAACCACCTCTGCACAGCAGGAGAACCTGCCTCACACCCCTGCTCCACTGCCACCCCGTGTTCTCCTGGATGCAGGGGTGTGTGTGCAGTCGGAGGAAGGGACGGGCCAGGCTGGCACGTGGTGAGGAACACGCTCTCTTCTAGCTGGAGCATCTCCAGCCCGCGCCATGGCCACGTCGGCTCTTCTCTGGTGGCTGAGGTGGTGCCGTGAGTGCAGCCACAGAAACAAGCAGCACGTACAACTTAACTGTCGTGAAGACCTGGGCCAAGGAACGGCCCAAAGCCTGAGCGGTGCCGGCCTGCCTGTGGCTGGAGCAGGGGGATCAGCAGGCACGGAAACTCCAGTCTAGCCTGGCACAGATCAACGACACGGAGGAAGAGTAGCAGGCACCAGCATCACCTCAGCTGAACATTCTGGCCCTCCCAGCACTGAAGAAGGATAAATGCCAGAGGCATTACCTAAAATCCGGGATGCCACTGGGGGTGCTGATCCCAGCGCCAGCCATCACCACCACTCGCCGACACTCCTTCTTCCCAATCAGCTCTGCCACGTCCTGCAAGGTGAGCTTCTGCTTCCCGCCGTCACCTCCCCACCTGCCCATCCCCAGGATGGCTCTGGCAGCAGCAGACAAAGAGAAGGGCCTGGTCCCTTGGATCCTGCTTGGAACAGAGAGGAAGCACAGCTGGCAGCACTGACAGCAGCTTCTGCTGAAAACTGCTCAGGGGGAGAAAAATACCCCGAGAATTTTGCAGAAAGCTCGTCAATGGGCAGGACTCTCTGCTGGAACTTAACAAGGGGAGAGCTTAACTGTTAGTCTAACCCATTCCCCGGGAGGAGATACTTTCCACAGCACCTTCTTATGCAGATCTAGAAATACCAAATCACTGGTGCCCCGTGAGAGGGGTTGATTTGGGCAGGGGGTGGGCACAGGGCTGTGGGAGCAGTGCTGCTGGGACTCACGAGGCTCACGGTCGATTTACACTGCTCTGGGGTTTTCTATGTCCTGAGTTTCAAGAAGTTTCTAACAGGGTGATGTGGTCACCCTGGGACAACGGTGCCCAGGTGAGCACAGACATTTTCATTTCTCAACTTCCCCCGAGGGCTCTGCCTCGAGAGAGCTCCACGTGCAAACGCCTAAAGGAATCGCAGGTCAGCGCTACGTACAGATGGGGCTGAGGAGAGTCACTGTCATCTCAAGGAACAGCTTCTCCCCAGACAATTTGTCCCTGCTGGTGCAGGACATTGTGAGCAGTCCAGAGAGGGCGTGGGAATGCAAAGAGCCAAGAGCTGCTGGATCTTGGCAATCCCCACACAGCAATTACTGAGCTGTGAGTGTCGACTGTGGCCTCAGCGTGGTCCCAGAATCATGGAATCATAGAATTCCCTCAATTGGAAAAACCTTTTAAGCTCATTGAGTCTCATCATGAACCCAACACTGACCAGTCCCCTATGACTAACCCATGTCCCTCAGCACTGTGTCTACACGACTCTTCAATCCCTCCAGGGATGGGGACTCCACCACTGCCCTGGCCAACCCCTTCCAATGCCTCAGAACCCTTGCAGCAAAGAAATTCTTCCTCACATCCCATCTCAACTGCCCTGGCCACAACTGGAGCCCATTTCCTCTTGTCCTGTCCCTTGGGCCTTGGTTGAACAGACCCACCCCCACCTCTCTCCACCCTCCTTTCAGGGAGCTGGACAGAGCCACAAGGTCTCCCCTCAGCCTCCTTTTCTCCAGGCTCAACAACCCCAGTTTCTCCATCCCTCACTTTCAACCTCGTGCTACCGGTTCCTTCCCTTTGGCATCCCGCACAGAGGCCTGGAGGGCATCAGGCACCAGCACTGGCTGTGGGATGAAGCCAACCAGCCCTACCTCTGTGCTCCAGGGCTGGGCACCCCTCTGCTGTCCCCAGCGCCAGGGCAGAGCCGGGCCGGGCCACCGCTGCCGCCAGCCCTGTGGCCGCGCTCCCACAGGCTCCTCCATGCTGCAAGAAAGCAGAGAGCAGTGAAGGTGTGTGGAGAGACAACCAGGAATGCACAGGGGACGGTGCTGTCACCCCTT